ACCTCTCCAGCCACCCAGTGATTGTTCCAACCATGTCAGCACATAGCACCTGCCTTGGCAGGTTTGAGGGAGTGTGATTTTATTGATCTGTCAGGCCTCCCTGTATTTATATTTTGACCAGTGTCTCCCCACATCACAGGGATTTTTTACCTGCTTKGGCTGCTTGATTGCTGTGCATGTTTCACAGTTACGGATAAGCTGGAAGATGGTGTCCATTTACTARCTGGGAAAATCATCTTCCCCTGTTTCCCTCACAGAGTGGATACGATTATTAATGGACTYTCAAAGGCAGCATCCAAAGTAAGGGTAGGAGAGCAACACTGAACACACATCCCAAATTATCCTCATTGCCCTTGATGATATTGTATCATAAACTGATATCACGCAGTACAGCCACAAAGCAATCCTAATCCCTTTCCCTTCTCTGAAAAAGAGCATTGTGATAGACACATAGTGCATACATGGAAACATATACAGGATTAGGTACCACAATCCTGCAGGTGAAGAGACCAAGCAATATTGTGACCAGTGGGTCCATACCTAATACAAYAAATGCTTACATCAAATTTGTTTCCAACCCACTCTGGACAGATCTGTTGTTAACTCTTCATGCCTCACTTTGGGCAAATGAGGCTGTTGTGGTATAGGAGTGGTATTCCCCTTTTAGTGTTCCACTGAAACACTCCAAACCATATGCCACTCGCTCACTCTCTCACCCTCTTCCTCCCCTTTGGTGGCTGGAAAGGATAATTGGAGGCATGAAAGGTAAAGATCATGGGTTGATGTAAGAACAACTTACTAGAAACAGCAGTGACACAAGAAACAAAGGGTAACAGCATCAGTATTACTAACAGCGTTTGCACAAGTGGTGAATGATTCACACACAAGTCCTTACCCTGTGGAAACCAGCAAAACCCCAACCACCCACCATGTTACCCTGACTGAAAATGGCCTCCTTCCCTCATCCCCACACCACTCCCTGCATATGGCATAGGTGGTATGGAATAACCTCCAGGTCCTGGCCATGCACCTCCTGGGTACTGCAATAATTAACCCTGTCCTGGCTGCAGTCAAGACACTGGCCTAGGAAGAGTTTGCCTTATCCAACGCTGGACCAAAAATCAAGGAGGAAGCAGTTCTCTGCTGAGTCCTGCAGGTTTTATGGGTGCAAGAGAGCAGGCAATGGGGCTCCATCACCTCCACCTACTTCTGGAAACGTGGATAGAACCGGGTATCTTGGGAGTGGTTACCTGGGTTATGCCTGCATCTTACTTGTGTTGTCCCTCTCATTTCCCATTCCCAATAACACCTGTAATGCACTTTGCAGACAGTGGGTTTTACTTTCAGATAATTTCATGTGAAATAATCCAGTAAATCTTGTTTTCACAAGTTATTTTGTAGCATTTGAAAAAATATGTAAGGAATTTTTGATTTCTGTGCAAAAAGCAACCCTTAAGGGCCATGTCAGAAATTAAGAGAGAGAACAAGCTTGGCTTAAATTAAATAAAAAGAATGAAAGCCACTTCTGTGCTTCCCCCCTGCATATTATTCTTGATTTAGGGCCAGCACTACATTTGATGTTTAAGGCATTTTTGGCTTTCCAAGTTCCTCTTCTTTCCTCGTACTGTTTAATTTTCTGCTTTGTGCCCACTTGGTCTTTGAATAGGCTTGTTTAATGGGAAGTAATATAAAGCTTCATGAAGTATTTACTCTGCAAATGCCTCTGAGAACAAGTCCTAAACCATTTGGAACCAAATTTTGGGCAAGATGGATGTGTTGGTTGAGTAATTACCAGTGGAGGATCTTGTGCATGATTGTTTGACGGGAAWATGCAGTAGAAGAGAAAAAGTTATATGTGGATTTATTAAATAAGGATCAAACCCCTCTACTTTGTAGTACCATAAGTAGCTCATAAGAGGTTTTAGCCTAGATATAAGAGGTGTCTGGTGGTGCCACACACTTGAAAGCAATGAAGTAACCACCAGCTCTTGTTTTCAGTAAAAAGAAATAARGTGGTTGGGCTGGCATCCACAGTGATGAATCCCAGAAGGAAAGAAAAAGGAATTGGGTTTTAATCTCCTTTGAAACGTCACAATGTTATACCAAGAGGACAGTCCTTTTTAGTGGCTATGGTTGAAGAAGAACGGGGAATGCTTAACGTAACTGGTACCTTATCCCAARTCAGCATGGGGTAGCTGGACTCAGTTTAGAATGTTCAGTAGGGGGTCCCSCAGGGATGTGGTGCCTGAGGGCAGGAGAAGCTGCTGTGGGGGACTGCGGGCATGTCTGGCATCTACCAGGACTTCAGTGCTTTGCCAGAGCTGAAACCGGTGCCATGCTTGTGTCATTAGACAATATAGCATGGATTAGAGGGGTCTTCTCATATTATCTAGAGTTATGGGAGGGGCAGAGATTTGTCCACTGAGAAAATGCATCACTGAAGCAATTTTTAAGAAAATACAACATTGCTAGATTGCATTCCAGTCACACACTGGTGAATACCTCCTGAAACACTGAGCTCTGTTTCTGCAGGCTGCCCTTTTAATTTTCTTTAATTCAGMCTTTTCCCTTGTGTACTGTTTTAATTTCTGGCTGTGCTGCAGTACTTTTCCTAAGGAAGAAGCGGTAGTCCTTCCCCTTAAAAGCTGACCTGTGGCAGGACTGCTGCTGTCACAGGGAGCTTTTGGTACCCAGAGCCAAGGCATCAGTGTAAATTCTGTCRGTGATGATGTATTTGCAATAATCTATTATTCTGCTCTAATAATCTACTTCTACTGCATTTTTCTGATAAGTGAATTATATTTGAATAGAACCTAGTACTTATAATTTCCTGTTTTTAGCTGGAAGGATATTTTAATAGCTGGTCTCAAATCTGCTGAAAAGCAGATTTTGTGGTAGAAATGCTAATGAAGCTTCAACCAGTAACAACTGGCAGCCATACATGAAGAATTCAGGGATTGTATATTTGGGTGGCAGAGATTTGTGCCATCTGAATCTATTTTTGACAACAAAATCTGCAGTCTGCATGGTTCAGACTCCAGGGGCTTTATTGCMAAGGTCACATGCTGATTTAATACCTTTAATATAAATCCAGGATAACTTAGTTGCTGTGAATGGGAGTGYTTTTCATTTCAGGTTTTTGGTCTTAATAGGAATCTGGCTGAAAGTAGGTTGCATTTTTGAAGCTAAAGCCATGATGTTGAAGACATCACAGAAAGGCAAAGACTGCTTTTTTCACCTTKAGATAAATCCTTTCTATGTGATGCAGGCTACCCTGCACTGTGATGAGATGCTGRTAAACTCAGCTATATGGAAAGAATGTTTGTCATGTTTTCTTTGTCCTTTTTTAATGCATTTATGTTCAGATTTCTAAATTTGATTTTTGAATTTCTGAAAACTGCTAGAAGCCTATATATTCMTATGTTCATATGCAGCAGTTTTAAACCATAGTCCTTTTTAAACTCCTTTTTTGACCTTCTCATGACACAGCTGATGTGAGGGTTTCATGTAGGCTTGCCACAAGTCAAAAAAAAAATCCAAATCAAATACTGCAGGAACACCAACAATCATATGAATGATTTCTTTCTCTGTGTTGCTGCTGTATCTTAATAGCATCTTTAGACTGGAGCCTTTTGCAGCCATGTTAATATTTTATATGAGGAGTAATAAATAGGGGTAAAATGCAACTTGAGTGATTAAATCTGAAGAAATGGCACTTGTACTAGTCCCACCATGTGGAACACATTTCTAAATCACCCTATTTAGTTGTACTTTACCAAGTAACACAACACTGTATGCTACAGCTCTTGAGTTTCTGTTTGGAGAAATCTTTATTAAATGATTTTTAAGTTTCATATTTGCTCTTTTATTTTGGTTGTCTGTAGTAAAGAAGTAAATATTTTAAAAAGACAGGATTACTGAAATTCTGTTTTACCAGTCAGATAGTTTAACAGGATTATTAAAGCTGGATGTATTGGTTGTAATAATTTGTGAGTAAATGACTCACCCCTCTCTTTGCCCTTTCCCTTTCTCAGGAATTTGGATGAGTGATATGCTTCCAGAAGTAGCACAAATTTTCTTCAGGATTACTAGAACCAAAAAAACCAACTGACTTCTTTCCCTCCTTCCCTCAGGTTGCCCTTGTTCTCCTATTCAAATCAAATGTCACATTGACTCCAATCCAGTATTGGAAGCATGTGGGGAACTGCAGCACATCAGCTCAGCGCAATGTCTCCATCAAGCTGGAAGGAAGCCCAAAACCAAAACTGCACTGGCCAAAATGCATCCTCTGCAGAAACCCCAAGGCAAGTGGCTTTGTCCTAGAAATTGTACAAGCTTCTATCACACGGAAAGTGTAATATTTTAAAATTATTGTTTTAATTCGAGTCACAGCAAAATAGCAAAAAGTACTTTTACATTGTAATGTGTAGCTGGTTTTATCATCTTCATTTTCCAATGTTAAATAACCACTTAGAGAATCCATCAAGAAGAAATTGATTCAGCAATAACCAGTTACTTAAATTGTCACTTGGTATTTCTTGTACTGTTGTTATACCTCATGCAGCCATGATGTGTTAGTTGAGTTTAACAACATTGTTTACATTTTTGATATTTTTTTAAGTATCTCAGGTAACAACATCTTACTGTTTAAACCTGATGTGTTTTCCATTTATTGTAGGAACTATGCATGACAACAGGAAATGCCTAAATGTAACAAAGGTATTTTGAAAATATGAAATAGAAGCTAAACCAGTCACATATAGGTGACTGGTTCCACACTTCCACAGAACTGCCAGCTAATAATCTAATAGGTGGCAATCCCAAAGTATGGTGCAAAAGGAACCAGGAAGAAGCATGTTCCAACTGACCTCTAGCTGTTTGTCCAGTCTCCCCAGGCTTCTGAATTCTAAAAAAAAGACTGCAGCAAGGGGACGCTTCTGAATTCTAAAAAAAAAAAAGACTGCAGCAAATTCCTTGAAAGAGTAGAAGTGGTTTTCATGTTTCTTCATTTGTGAAATTACTGGCTCTTTGTAATGCCAGTTGCCCAGTGCTTTACTCTCACCACCCTGTGTTCTGTAGAATTGATTCCACTTATGTATGTAATGGGTGCTTGCCTCATGGGGACTGGAGATGCAAAAAACATGGAGTTTGAGAGGTGTTTGGAACAAAGGAAGCTAAGCTTCAAGAAGATACTAAGTTCATAAACCAAAATATTTAGACGATATGTGTCCATGTGATAGATGGTTATTGTCATCTGAAAACGAAGATGTTTTGGTGTTGTACACACTGAGCTGTTGCACCACCACCCTGTCCCAATTAAAATGATTATACAAAAGCGATTGAGCCTGAACAACAAATAAAGCATTTTATTTTCTGCCTCTGGAAGTAAACCTTAAATATTAAATTAGTATACTGCTTCTTCATGCTTGAAACATCTCACAAAGTCTATGTCTTTATGGAGCTTTCACTTAGAGGTCTTGGTAGCCCAAGTTTAATTAGTTCCGTGAACCTTGTTATTACTAACAATRAAAGGGAATAGCAAAAGTGTCTGTTCAATAAGAACTGGAATGAATTCAGCTGATGTGAGTTCTTTGCTGTTGCATTCATGGTACTGATTTCCAATCACTTAGGATGTAAACTGTTTTTCCTATGTGTATATTTCAGAAAAGTTGGAGGGACCCTAGTTAGCCTGATTGAAATAATGATTTATTTCCTTCACCAAGACAGGTGCTTCTGCCTCTTCGTGCTGCTCACACTACCCACTCCCCCGCAAGATCTCTCTGTCATTTACAGCCATAAGCTTAGAACAGATGTCAGTSTGCCTAGTCTTGTTCATGACAGTAAGGGTGAAAAAGGACAGAAATTGTTAAAGGGGTGAAATAAACACCCAAACATAAAATGCTTTCTTCTTTACTCTCGCTGATACTTTTTTTTGACAGAACTTATTTTATTGGACTTGTTGTGCTGTTGAAATAGTCCAAAAAGAAACACGAGTCCAAATGAAAACTCCCATAAGATTGTTGTGTAGTATCTGATACTCAAAAATCAGACTGAGCCAAAGCTAGAAATCCAGGTGACAAGTCTTGATCATGAATGTACCAGTCATACTCCTGAAAGACACTTCATTTGGCTTGAATTTTAAATAATTATTTTATTATTTCACTTTCTTTCTTTATAATAAATTTGCTTTTAGAAAGTATCTTCCATTAGCTTATATGTGACAGGAGAGAAAATATGTAGGATACTTTGCAAGGAGGGAAAGATAGTACAATTTTTTTCTCTTCACTTTTATTTGCTTTGTAAATTTGAAATTGCTTTTGTCCCTGCCATTGGTCTTCTGTTATTGTATGGATTTTATACCCAGTAAAGAGAGGAGAATGCCTCATGCCTCTACAGGAAAATTAAAACATCCAAAAAMCAAAAAAATTGTTTTATTGAATTGAATCTATTGAGTTGACATTTTTAGTGTATAACATCCTTCCTTTCTCTTGGTGGCCATATCCACAAAAAGTAGTTGTGACAGTGTGGTGCAGACATAAATATTTCTTCAGTTTTTTGTTGGTATTTTTATACAACAGGTTTTTTTTCTCAGGGCTTTCTACCTAGAGCCATGTGGATGTCTCATTAAGGCCTGGTTCTTGTTGATTTTTGGGTGGGATGTGCTGGCGTCACCACCTGAGGCTCCAGAAGCAGTTCTCTACCTCCACCCAAGGCTATGCTTTTGGGTCATTTATTCTTTCTGTAAGTGTATTTGCTTCCCAGGTGATAACCTTTCATAATCTGCTTCAGCATCTCTATTTTTTGCAATCTCTTTTTGTCAAGGGCCTTAACTGAAGTAAGTAAATCTGTAAGTGTGACTCACACTGCTTGAGAATTTCATTATGAAGTCCTCCCAGCTTTCCCAGCAACTCACACCAGACCCCAGCTGCTGGGATGGTGGATAGGAATRCCTTTATCCATTTGCTAATAAATGTTCTTTGAGTGTTTGCTTTACTCTATATTTGGCATTTGTGACAGATGAATTCATGGCCAGGGAGGATGAAGAGATGCAAAGGTTGAGATGCATGTTTAGCAGTTAGGGAAGGACTCATATTCCCAGCTGGTTTACAGACCCAGGGCCCAAGTCTGGGCTTCACCGTCTCCCATTTATTCAACCTTGTCTTCCACTTTTCAAATTCTGTCCCACTTTCTGTTATTTCACTTGTTCCTTCTGCAACAAAGATTTTGTGTCTTGGTTTCTGCCTCCTCCAAATAGCCATGGGTTGCTGTGTAAAACCTTCAGGAGAAGGAGGAACAAGGAAATCCCATTCCAGCACGTGGCTTCAGTCTTCAGGCAGCACCTGAAAATGCTTTGCAATGCTGATATCTCTTCCTTGTAGCAGCTTCTTACTTAGAGTCAAAGGATCATGGAATGGGTCRTCAAGATCATCTAGTTCCATCCCCTTCCAAGGGCAGGGACACCTTCCACTAGACCAGGTTGCTCTAAGCCCCATCCAGTCTGGCCTTGGACGCTGCCAGGGATGRGAAATGCACAGCTTCTCTGGGAACCTTTGCTAGGGCCTCACCATCGTCATGGGGAAGAGTTAATTCCAATACCTAATATCCCATCTAACACTGCCCTTAGTCAGGAAGCCACTCCCCCTTGTCCTGACGCTCCAGGCCCTTATCCAAAGTCCCTCTCCAGCTCTCTTGGAGTCCCTTTAGGCACTGGAAGGGTCTCTAAGGTCTTCCTGGAGCCTTTCCTTCTCCAGGCTGAACATACCCCCAGTTCTYCCAACCCATCTCTGGAGCAGAGTGGCTCCAGCCCTTGAAGCATCTCTGTGGCTTCTTCTGGGTTTGTGGCAACRGGTCAGTATCTTTCTTGTTTTTGGGGCACCAGAGCTACAGGTGGAATGTCACCAGAATGGAGTAGAGGGGGAGAATCTGCCTCACCTGCTGCCCATGCTGCAGGTGGGAATGCAGTCCAGGACATGCAGGGTTCTGTGCTGTCAGCACATTTGATCAGGTCATGTCAATCATCTTGACAACCACATCCCAAAGTGCTTCTCCCCAGGGCTAGTCTTGACCATTCTCTGTCCAGGCRCATTTGCCCTTGAACCACATCTGGTGTGGCTGAAGTTTTGCTTGGTAAGTAGTCCTTTGTGGGGTTAGTGGCTTTGCCTCCGTGCTGATGTTTCCATTTCTCAACATTACTTCAGTAAGTAAAAATCCAGAATCAACAAAAGTGTTTTCCTGCTTCCTTTTGGTCCAGCGTAGAGTGTGTTGTCTGAGGTGATTCAGTTGAATCCACTAACAGGAAATGTTTACATGGACAGCCGTGACACACAGTATAAATACTTTGATATTAGTGTAAAACCTTTGARTGTAGTGGACCAGGGCCAGCTTTGAAGGCCTGATGGGGTATGTGGGGTAGGTTCTGATGTGTCTGCTTGCTGCACTCTGCAGTAAGGAGCCTAGAGCTTGCCTTTGGCTAGATGGGCTAGATGGCTGTGTGGATACTTGTTTTTAGGTTGTTTTTTTATTTTCACAAGGAGAAACATGGCCAGACACTCACTGATCACAGAGTGTGCACATGAAAACCTGGTAAACCTGGTGGACAAAACATAGTGTTCCACCATACCATTTATATGTAAGAAGATTTTCTTTTCCTGCTTTGCTGTTATTCATGCATAAAATAGGGCTTGTAGAGGTCTTTTGAAAATTGGACTTTAACATCTTTGTTTTAAAATAGGACTTTCAGATGATTTGGAAACTGAGTGAATCAGTCCTCTTATTGGAAGTGTTCTCTTAAAGCTCAGATCCTTAGAAAATTTGATTTTATTCTTTCACACTGAAAAAAACTTAGTAAGGTAAACAGTTTAAAATCTGACATATACTTAAAACTCCAAAATGCTTTAACAGCTCTTCATCACTGACCTCAGACAAGGTCTCTCTTTGGACTCCTATGGCAGCTGCCCATTTGCTGGAGCAGGACAGACATCTGGGCTGATGTGGATCTTAGTACAGATGCAGAGCCTTCTGCAAGGAAGACACAATTGGCATTGACTTTTTAGGCGCATATGCCACTGTTTGTCCACCTAAAGCAAGTAATCCTGGAATTACATTTAGAAGAGTTKCTAACTCAAGCCCCATTACAATGCTGATCACATGTGCCAAATGAATGATCAAAGTTAGAAATGGTTGAAAGAATTTGTTCTCAAAAATGTTTTTTTAATACAACGTGTAGTTTGAGTTTCCTCATTTAATATGTTGACTCATTGGATAGTCTATACTGGAGGGCATGTTGGCAGTTCTACTCCAAGCAGTGTGTGCTTTGGGACCAGTCCCATAGTCAATTTTTCTACCTTCCAGTGTCTGATTTGCCTATGGGAGTTGCTTTCCGTGTGAAACTATGACACATGGGAACCCATCGCCATGAGTTACTGCCTGTATATGATAAATCATTTACTCTGCAACCAATGGGAGCTCTGAATAAATTTGTTAAAATGGCATTACAGTTCAATGCAATTTAAAAAAAATACTTTGTTAAACTTTGTGTCTTGGCCTCCTTGTGAGTCCTGAAGCAGAATGTGAGTGTTCTTAAACACTTGTTTTATTTATATCATATGCAACTCAAGGTAGAACCAAAAGAGGAAGGAAATTCGTGAAGATTACTACACCACAGAAGAGAGGGGGGAGGGAGAATGAGGGGAAGAAAAGGCATTCTGTTCTGCCTGTGGCATTTTTGCTCAAGCAAATACGAGGCACTGAAATCCATGCTGGGGTTGGGTTTTGGTGGTTTGTTTTGGGATGTGGTTCATCCATCTGCCTTTTTCCCCCCAGTGTAAGAGATTCAATGGGGTTCCATAATTCTGAGAAATCATGAAAGGGGAAGCTCATCAGTGTGATTGAGATGGCAAGCAAACTTGCAAACTGAAGTGCAAGCCGTGCATCCTGTTTGGTAATGAGGAAGCGGTGCAGGCAGCTGGGAGCCACTTGGTTTGCTAGAATAGCTAAGCGAGCTGTAGAAACACAAAATAGAAGCCCATCAKTTTTCTTTAGCAGCTTGCTTAGGTGTAAGCAATAGTTCAGGACTGCACCTGTGCCTTYTATAAAGAACGGTGCAAGAATGTATACCTCTTGGTCTGGATTTTGTTTCGAGTTTAGGATAAAGGAGATTTATCATCCTGTTTTTTCCCTTCTCTTTCCTTAGTACCTCCTAAGCCTGTCCATCTCAAACCTGGGCAGGAAAGAATTCCTCCTGCACCATCTCGGCCTTTGCCAGCTGATCCCAAGTCAACAAGGAGCTTAGCACCTGGAGAGGAAGATATACCAATATCAGCAGGAGTCAACACACTCATTGAGAAATTTGAAAGTATTAGGTAAATACGKCTTTGTGAGATCTGCTTTCATCTCCCTTTTCTGCATTTTTAACCTAGAATGTAATAATTTAAAATATTAATTGTATTGGTCACATAGAAAGTCCTGTTGGGYTCTTTTCTACTGGAAGTGCAAAGCTCTACTTTGAGGACAAAGTATCTTTTWAATAAAAGCTGTACAACAGTGAATTTTTATTTGTAGTATACAGTTGCGCTTAAGGAGCTTAAGACCTGCTGAATTTGGTAAGATTCTAACAGAGACAAGTAGCCCACAGTCTGCTTTYAGTAAGTTGGTTTGATGTGGGAATTGCATCATAGGAACTTGACAATTATGATATGAAATAATTGGGTTTTCTGTCTAAGATACAATAAACATCAGATTTTGCTTCTTGGAGGCAGGGAAGGGCATAGTGTACTGTGAAACAATGTCGTTTAGAACAACAACTGTTCTGAAACTTTGTATATGAAAGATGCCGAATTGGATGAAATATACCTATTTTGCTGTAAAACCACTCATTTTACAAACACATGAAAACTTWCCCTGAAGAACAAATCTGCCTGATGGAGCTAAGTGATGGGGTTTTTTTCACAAAGAGGGAGATGGAGATAGGCACTGTACTGTGCCTTGGAGTATGTTATCACCTGGGTGAACCTCGTGTCTTTGAAAGAGGGAAAAAGTAGTGCCTTCTCATGCTTCTGTACATCCTCTCTGGCAGACAATACCTTGTTCTAAAGGCTTGGTTCTGTTAAAGAGAGTTCCTGTTTAAATGAGCCCAGAACCAAGTTTTTCTTGTTAAAAGTGATTCCTTCTTCTCCAAACCCTCTAACTAGACTGTTCTTCAAAATGACATGGAAAGCACTAAAGGCTCAGGATTCTGGTGGTGCCATTTCAGTAGGATGTAKGGTTGGTGTTTCTGTGTTGGATGTTGTTGGGTGATCATTATTGCAAAGTGCACGCTCTTGCCTCCTGTGATTGTCAGTGGGGTGCAAGAAATACAACTTGAATGACAATCAGACCCTCTCTTTCAGGGTGAAATCTGAATGTTAATATGACTGTGGTGCTTTTTCTTTACCTATAGACAACCTGTACATATTCTTCAAAGGAACCAGCTAAATTTAGCTCTTAAGATGGAACCTGGCCTGGACTCATCCAAGCAGATGAGCTCATGTGACTGTGACACTGTGGCTTCCAGCAGCTCTTCCACAAATGACAAAGCTGAATCCGATGAAGCTGAGGCCCATGTACCATGCAGCACAGATCCAACTAACACAGACATAATGAAAATTAAAGAGCTCAGCATAGGTGATACCAAAAGCTATGAAGAGTGTACTGCTGTGACTGTGAGCAAAGAGCCTCAAGGAGAGCTTGGCAGTAAAGACTCAACTGCAGAACTGAATGGGAATGGTAAAATTCCCAACAGAGACAGTGGCATTGACAGTCCTTCTTGTAGCGTGGCTGGGGAAACATTCCCCAGTGAAGAAGGGGCAGAGCAGAAGAAGCCCAGCATGGCTGGGAGCCCAGGGGAAATGGAACCTGACAGAAAGGGCACCAAGCCTTCCTCTGCAGAGCAGAAGAGAGACTCCACGCAGGATGAGGACAGTGACATTGATGAAGGAAGCAGTGAGGAGCAAGAGATAGCAGAAGTGCCAAAGTTAGAGTATTTGGATGTAAACAAGGTAAGGGAGTTTGTTCATTGCTATCAAGTGCTCAGAAACCAGTTCCTGACAATGGCAAGAAGTCTCTTGCATCACTTTCATACTATGTTTGGATTATTTGTTTGGTTAGTTTTTCATCAAAGGATCATGATAATCAGTATTATTTCCTGCTTTATGCAGGTCTTAACGTGTTCCTGACCTAGATAGAATTTTTTGAAAGGTTCCCAGCTTGCTTTAATAAAAAGTTTRATATAAGGTAATCCATCACAGCCAGAGGTAAGCTGTTAAAATCCAGATACTTCTGTAGGTCAAGACTCACTCCTTGTGTTTGTTGTTTGAGTTTGTGTAAGTTCAGCTTGTTAGAGTATGTTGTTTTCCATGGGGCTTTGTGTTATTCAGAGAGMTAATTAGATAGTGCATCTTGCAGGGTCAGGACCTTGCATCTGAGTAGGACAGGCATGATCAAAATCATATTTTACACAAAATGTAGTGTTTTTTTCTACAGAAACCTGTGCCTTTGTTGGTGTGACCACTTTTTGAGTGCAAAGAAGTTGTTTTGATGGTAGTTATGTCAAATTATTCTTCAGGAAACAGTAGCTAGAAAAGAGATTTTTCTTTGATTCCAGACTAATGTAGTCCAGGSTGTTTTATATTTGCAGCAGCTACATAAGCTTAATGAGTTTCCTTTGATTATCAGGTTATCATGACCATTAATTTTAGAAATAGTGCTGTTAAAATGGATTAGATTTTTCCAGAAAAACAAAGCAGAATATTGCAAAATATCTGCAAAATGTTCCACTTCTTGCACTTTTTGTTTGGTGGATCTTTTTGTTTGTATTTGGGGGTGTTTGGGTTTGTTAGACTTTTTTTCCCCTCCAGCCATGATGACCATAAAGTTAATATATGGGACTTTTTGTTTTAAAGAGTATGATGAGCAGCTGCAACTAATGATCCATAGTTAGTCAAGTGCAACGTCCACACTTCAGTTTGTGCAAATCGGGTGGTTCTGTTRAAATCACCAAATGTTGAAAATGTGTTGCGGATAAAGTTTTGTACCTCAAAACTTGACAAAGGTGTGTTTATACATGCATACACACAATGTGATGTACTTCAATTATTTTATATTCATAATGTGTATGTATGTGCATGTGTGCAACTGAAATGTTATTTAAAAGATACACAATTAGTTGCAACAGGCTGGCAAGAAACCATAGAATCATAGAATATCCTGACCTGGAAGGAACCCATGAAGATCATCAAGTCCAACTCCTGCAAAATAATACTTTGCATTAAAAAATCTTTAATCTGGTAATTGAATTTACAGTTTGGACTAGGAATGCTGTATCAAACCAACTGTGACAACCCCAAGCTGAGCACTTAACCATATGATTAAGAAGTGCTTTGTTGAAAAATACCAATGTTTTSTAAGTTATCGATGATTTGGTGGCTGTTTTGAAATCTTGTTCCTTAGGTTAAGTGTCCATATAGTATGAAATAAGGATGACAAAACACAGAGTTATAAGACTGTAATTCTCTGAAGCCCACTTGGTGAATTTATGAGAGGTATCTCCAGAAGAAAACTCTTGTTTTGGATTTTTGTGTTACCCTTCTTCCGGAGCTGAATTTATGTGATGCATTGCAGGTTTTCCCTTGCATTTGGAGATGATTCCCCTTTCCAAAAGGCAGTTTTGAGGCTGACCAAACTGCACTTAAGTCACCTTGTTTCTGCAGTCAGATAATGGAAGAAGGCTGAGARAGCAGCTGCCTCTTCTTCCATGTAGTGTTCCCCTCTCCTGGGGACACGTTGGGTGAAGCCAGTTTCTGWGTTAAGTGTCCATATAAAATCRCAGAATCATTAAGRGTGGAAAAGATCTTGAAGATCATTGAGTCCAGCCACTACCCTAACACTGACAGGTCCACCACTACACTGTGTCCCTAAGCACCACATTTAGGTGTTTTTTGAACACTTWCAGGGGTGGCAAGTTCACCACTTCTCTGGACAGTCTATTCCAATGCCTGACCCTGCAGTGAAGACATTTTTCCTAATACTAARCCTCTCCTGGCACAAGTGGAGGTCATTTCCTGCTCTCCCCTTTGATTCTGCTGCAGTTAGCATGAAGGACCATAGCTTCCATCAAGGAAAGCTAATGTGATTCAAAATCGACTTGTTCCATGGTTATTCTTAGGCTGGAATTTCACATCACCCTTGACAACTGATAATTTTCCCGCTTGAAGGAAGAGAGTTCAGTTGGCATTAGCTGCTGGCTTGGGAGCTGGGTAGTCCTACTTCAGAAAGCCTTAAGTTGGGAGAGAGTGTCTTTTTCCTGCATTCCCCCTCCTACCCGTAGTACCAGGCTTTGCAGCTGCACGGTGAAGGTAACCAGTGATCTCATTAAATATGCAAGTTGTTATAGTTGGGGAAGGGTGCATAAGTACAGCTGCAGAGTGTTTTAAGGATGGCTCCATAATTCCTAGGTTATCAGGGTAAGCAAAGCTCATGAATAAACATGCTTCTCTACTTCAGATATCTCTCAGTTGTTCATCTAAGCTTTCACACCATCCATGGCTAGGGAAGATAGCCCTGCCTGATATATGATGAATATTGTTTTATTTAATCTAGTTTTAGCTCTGCAGTGATGTGGTTTCCTTCCTTTTCCTTTCCTTTTCCTGTGATGGAGTCTWACAGGGCTCACTGTTAGCACAAATTATGTTTTAAAATTTCAGGAGTAACTTATTGGGATTTCCAGTTATCTTTTATCAAAATTAAAATGAACAAGGGGAGCTTATTAGTCTTAGAAAATTTCAGGAGCTCCAGGAAGTGATGCACATGAAGTTCAATGGTTACAAAGATGGTTAGAATGAAAAGTAGTGAGATGAAAGTGAGAATGAGGGACTGTCATGCTTCGAAGTCATATACCCAAGACTTCTGCCTGAGAGYCTGAGTAATGCTTTTGGGAGGGGTATTGGTGCTTCATAGCTTTTTATTTAGTTATTTTTTTACCAAGAGTAATATATTCTAGTTCRTAATCATTAAAAAATGTTTTTCTCCATCTGTCCTGCTTCCTTCCTGCTGTGTAAATAGTAACAATGGAATCCCACATGGGTCTCATGCATTCACTGACCCATGCTTCCATTCTGCCTGTACCTAGATGGAATTTCACTTCTGACTTCATTGTCCACTGTGTGCTGTAATATTTGGCCTGCAGTCCTGCCAGTCAGACCTTTGGGTGACATTATTAACATGTGTATTCRGAAAAGAAAGTCCATAAGTCAATGTTCTAGTCATAATGCTGGTTGAGAAAATTCAGATATGCCATCATCATCATCGTATTTGTTTTAWATACGTTAAGGAGAATGAGATCTCAATGCAAAAAAAGACAGCCAAGCATAGGATAACTTTTCTGTATTATTTTCAGCATTGTTGAGTAACAAGTGGCTTGTATCTTTCTGGGACATTTTCAGTTCTTTGAAGGGCTGGCTGATKGGGTTTTGAAGCATAACCGTGTATGATTTTACCCTAAGCTCTGTCCCAGCAGCTCTTTTGCAAGATTTGCTGAAAGCCCTTTGTGAGAGAGATGCTGCCTGAATATCGTTGCAYATACCCATTGTATAAAAGTATCCTGCAGGATATTGCCCAAGTTTTCTTGTGTTAAGCTTTGTATGYACTTAAAATTTTCATTTCAAATCTGGTTTTTTGTGATAGCCAGGTCAATCTTTGCCTCCGTGAGTCCTTGGCCCAGCCTTTCCTTGGACGTCCAGCTGTGTGGGTGAGCAGGAAGCAGCGATGCACTTGTGGCCACTTAACTGCACAAAGCAGACCGATATGTGCCAATCTATGCCTGTGACTGGGCAATTTGAGGTGTAAATGCATTCCAAGTTGTCATGGTTTTACTTGGTCTGATTTTTGGTGATGGGGGATGGGACCAAGAAACCACAAAGATGGCTCCTGTGAGGAAGTTCTAGAAGCTTTCTCCTTCTCCAGCAAAAGGAGCCTTACCCCCTGTGTTTTAGAGCCAATCCGTTGTGGCTCTGAGGTTGATGGACAGGCTGCCCATCAGGCCTGGGCCAATTGCACAGGTTGGTTACACCTCTGTGATGACGTATTGTCTTGTACTTAAGAAGAATTCAAAACAAGATAGGGGCGACCGCCATGTAGTTCTTAGGTTGTTAGTATTTAGTTTTAGTATCATGCACTGGGGAAAAACAGAGCAGGAGGGTGAGGAGATGTAGAAAGAAAAGTGGAGACCCAAGATCACATTAAGGAGAAGATGGGATGGATTGCTGTGCTGTTT